ATCAGAGCGCAACCTGCTGAGAAAAGAACACGACGCCTTGTGAAAGGGCAGAGAAAAGAACATGAAAATGTGACAGCGCTAACACAAGGCAGAATAAGTGCAGCCTTTTTTCGAGAAAAGAAAACGCTATAAGTCATTGAAATAAATTTAGCATGTTATTTCCTAAAAACTCTATGTTATTATTACATTTTTTTAAATTTTGAAACCGCTTAGAAAAGTTAATACTTCTACTGTATAGCCAAAACTGGTCAGAATAAAAAATTGTAAAAACTCTAGCTAACACCTAACTTAGGCTTTAACACATTTTTTTTCAACAATAAGAATCTAATTAACAAGTTACCATTGTTTTTAGCTGAACCAAAATGGCTACATTATCATTGAAGATTTTCTCACGCCAGCAGAGGTCGATGAACTCTACTCGGCTGGACGTGACCTCTGCATAGATGCACCACGAGCAAACCGCAAAATTTTTAGCACAGTTAACCAAAAGGATGCACATAGCAAAGATACATACTTTCTTGATTCTGGCGACAAAATTCGGTTTTTCTTCGAAGAAGGTGCCGTAAATGAGAATGGCGAATTAGTTGTCGATCCTATGATCGCCCTGAACAAAGTGGGACATTCCTTGCACGTTGACCACCCGGTCTTCAACAAATTAACCTTCAGTAGTCGTGTTAAGGAAGTTTGCTGGCAGTTGAACTTCAATAAACCAGCGGTGTGCCAGAGCATGTACATCTATAAGAATCCAGGCATAGGGGGCGAAGTTATTCCACATCAGGACTCCTGGTTTTTGCACACAGAGCCGAACTCTGTTATTGGTTTTTGGTTTGCGCTTGAAAATTGTACACTAGAAAATGGTTGTTTGCACGCAATCAAAGGTTCACATAAGAGCGGAGTTCATCGTCGATATATGCGCAATCCGGATAAGGACGCTCAACAACTACTAGTTTACGATCGTCCTGCACCGATTTACCCTCAATCAAATTACACACCCTTGATCGTGGGCAAAGGTAAAACACTAATGTTATGTTTATATAGATTTGTCTTAAAATTTGTCTTTTCTTAGGTACCTGCATCATTATTCATGGCAATGTAGTGCATAAGAGTGAACCAAATCGGTCGCAGAAAAGCCGCCATGCTTACACTTTCCATGTCATTGAGACCGAGAATAACGTAAAATATTCGGAAGACAATTGGCTCCAGGCATCCAAAGAGAAACCTTTTCCTGTACTTTTTGAACGTAACAAATAAGTTATTCCTTTTGAATAAATACATTTATACATACATATGTACATATCTAAATGTCCACTAACAAATAAATCAAGACTAAAAACCCTCACAACTACCACTCAGGTTTCCCTCACAACTATTTACATAGGTATGTATGTACATATATGGTGACAGCTAATAAGATCAACGGAAATAAGGTCAATTGACTTTATTTCGCACCAGAAATTATTACCTTTTTAAAAACGAAATAAAATCCATTGACATTATTTCTCTTTCAAACATTAAATTTGCTTAGCCCCGCGTACCCCGCGCGAACGGCGAGCACACCACGTCACGCTACGCCGCGGCCCCCCGGCCACCCCTTCCGAGTCTCCCGCCGTGCTGTAACGCAGGTAGATTTATTTTTTGTATACGTTGAAATAAAATTTGTATATATTTTAAACATCGAGGGCTTACTATTCAATAATACCCTCTATCTGCACACTTTTCACTTGAGATTCTGATATAAAAATCCACCTAAGCTTTAACTGTCATCAGTGATATTAATTTTACCTTATATAACGACAGGTAATAAGTTCCAGATGGTTTCTAAAATCACAAATTAGTTTTTGTGTAAATTGCAGATAGAGGGTATTAATGAATTCAAGCCCTCGATATTTCACATTTTTATACTTGTAAGTTATTGGAAGCAGGGATGCCAACTTGGCTCAAACCGTGCCATTTGTCCCTACTTTACTTCAAATGGCACTTAATTTTTCAATTTGGCACAAAGTGCCAAAACGGCACTTTTGTAAAAAAAATAACATTTCAATACATTTTTGTGAAATCCTTTGCGTGCACTTCTTTTTTTCAACTAAAATTTTCTAATTTATAAAGGCTATTCAACTGGTTTATCTTATTTTATCATTGCAGTTTTGTTTGGAAAATGTAGCTTTATTTTATTGCTAAATGTGAATGATTAAAAAGAATGACACCTTTTTTGGCACTTTTATTTTTCTATTTTGCACTTTTTTATCCTCAATATGGCACCTCATAACTAAGGATAGTAGGCAGCCCTGATTTCTGCTGTGTTTTGGGGCAACAACTTGTCTGCAGTAAAAAAGCATATAATTTGTGTTTCAAAAGTGTGTGAAAACCAATCAATTAACTTATATGATCTCGGTTCCGATATTAAATAATCAATAATTGTTTATACCCGCATTTTGGCACATTGGCTCGTGGAATCACCTAATAAATAGTGTCGTCATTCTCCTTAGCTGCTTTTAAATGATGTCGTCACAAATTTCTGGCGGTGACATGAATACAGTGTAAGAAAATTCTTTTTCTATAATTGTTTCCTTATAGAAAGGTTGGATTATTTTCCACCTTAGACATTCTGGCTGAATTTATTTATTCATTCTGAACGTTTGGAATAAACTTTTTTGTTTACTTATTCTTTAGAACGTTCCTGATGATATGTTAACGTATATTTCAAAAGCATTCTGTTTATTCCGGCTGTGAAATGGGATTATCCGGAATGTATAAAGAAACGCAGCCTCTGAATTCGTTCAAAATATGCTAATTTAAAACACAGAATTCTTTCGGTGTTCCTCCGGAGTTTTTGGACATGGACTGTTTCTTCAATTGAATAGTGTTCGCTTTATTTTTGTGGAAACAAAACATGTTTTGCAAGTTATGGATCATTCCAGCTGTGCGCTGGCGTTAAGTTTTCTGCATCGTGTTTTTACATATTCTTAATTTAAATTTTTTTAATAAAATCAATTGGTGGTAGTTCATGATTGTGTGTGGATTAATATCACAACGCTGAGGATTTGGCAATAACCTTTTACATCTATTAAAAAACAACACTTACGGGGCGATGTTTATTGTAAGAACAACATTTTTTTCTATGACTCGACATATAAAGTCAATTGACCTTATTTCCATTCACCTTATTACCTGTCACCGTATTATTTGTGGGAATCGAATCGTAGTAATAAACATCGAACATGCGGAAACTTTGGGCCGTAGTTGTAGTCAGTATTTTTCCATTCTTAGAAACAGATCTGTGAAACAAAGGCATGCAGTTATAATCAAAATTAAGTCGACACTAAAGTTAGTTGCAGTTTTTTTTCAGGTGAAATTATGTCAAAAAGCTGCAACTCTCTTTAGAGTCGACTTAATTTTGACTATAACTACGGGCCTTTGTTTCCCAAATCCGTGTCTAAGGATAGAAAAGAAGTGACTACGGGTTGGTTCGAGCTGCAATCACAACCGCAGTGTTGCGCGAATTATTAAAGTATCACGTTCTTGGTGGATTTCTAGCAACGTATTATCAGTTGGGCAGTTGCAACAGTGTTGCAAATTTTCATCAGTACGGCAGTAATGCCGCTTTTATTACGTGCCTTGAATAGGCCCTACATGTTAATGAGTTTGTTAAGGGGCCCCCGAGTTTCTCTTCCATAGATGTACTGTGTAAAAATGTCCGCTCTTTTCGGTGGATACATTTGGATACAGTTTTCGATTTTTTATGGATACTTTAAAGGCTA